TCATTTCCCTTGATTATGTCAGATTCTTACCGCATTCATTTAGTGATTCAGTCAAGAAACAGTTATTGAGTGTTGATTACAATCTAGGCCTTGCCCAGGGCATAGGGCAAAGACAGGGAACTGGTGTATACTTACCTTCAAATGGGAAGGCAGGCAGCACACTGTCCAATAACCACGAGAGATGAGCTCAGGAAATGAAAAGGCTTCAAAGAAAATTCCTAGGCGATGAAGAGCTTCTAGGTCAGAGCGTGCAGACGTGGCATCTGTCGGGTAGGACATTTGAGGAAAGACTTCAAGAAATCGAGTCATCTCTGTCTGGGAGGAACAGTTTAAGCAGCAGTACCAGGAAATGGAGCCATCTTGAAATATACTAGGTGGTTGGGGATAATAATGACGTTAGTGTAGACAGACCTAAGTGAGAGGAAGGGAACGGAGACGGAGGAGGAGCGGAGGGAGCCTTGGCCCTTCTGCTTGGATGTGACGGCTGTAGGTTAGCTCTTTTGTATTCTCCAGACTCCTTGTCTCCCTTGTTAGGCCAAGTGGGATGTTTCTAATTTGCCCTCGATGGGACAGTTGCACTTGGGCCTGGCACAGGACAGTGGTTCGCTTAGGGGACCCACAAAGAAATGCAGGCATGGCTCTGTGGGTTCCTGGTGCAGTATCTCACATGTTCACATGTTCTATGAGGAACTGAAGAATGGTGACCTGGTATGTAGTCCATCTCCCCCTCCTCCCTGTCCACCAGTGCAGCCTCTAAAGAGATGCTGTCTGAAGGCTTGATCTGATGCAGGTGTCTGCCTTGTCCTCCAGGGTGAGCTTCTACAGCGTCATTGTGACTTAACTAATTGAAACAGAAATCCGTAGAAACAAACGTCTTTCTTGAATGCAGGAGAGTTTGCTTAAGGAAACAGTGATGGGAATTTAAGGTTAGGTGCACAGACCTCCCATAAAGCCCTGAGCCTCGCTTTGCATGGAGGTGTTAACTACTGCTGTTCAGAATGGTTGAAGCTCTTTTCCATGTTGTATAGAATTTGTATTACTGTGGATTCAGCTGTCACTCACTGTATTACAGCTAACAATTAACTTTTAATAATAACTACTCTCACTATAAAACGCTTGAGTACTTTCTACGTGCTAAGCCCTGTGTCAAGACTTTTAATAACTACTCTCACTATAAAACGCTTGAGTACTTTCTATGTGTTAAGCCCTGTGTCAAGTTCTTTATAAATATTATCTGATTTAGCCCTGCCAGCAACCCTCATAGGTCAGAGACCAGAGGCTGAGATGTAACAGGCCTTCTCAAATGAACTTAAGTGAGAAAGATCTACACAGGCCCTGGTCTTTCTCAGAGTAGCAAGACAGTCTCAGGGTAGGACGTGGACTTTACATTTTTTAAAAGCATTACCCAGCCGGGTGTGGTGGCACACGCCTCTAATCCCAACACTCAGGAGGCAGAGGCAGGCAGATCTCTGTGAGTTCGAGGCCAGCCTGATCTACATAGTATGTTCCAGGCCAGCAGGGGCTACAGGGAGACCCTGTCTCAAAAAGACCAAAAAACAAAACAAAACATCAAAAAACAACCCAAAGGAATCCCAACATGCAATACAGCATTTCTCCATCTTCAAACTCTTACTGTGTGAACTTTTCCTAGAGGGATGTGAACATGTTTCCAAAAATAGAATGTCAACATCAGACTGAAAGAACGGTACCACCCAAGTCAGCTTGGGCAAACAGCAAGTTTATTGGGCTTGCTTGTAGGAGCATGGACAAGAGGTTACTTAGGGAAGTGTGGGTGACCCCCACACAGCTGCATCACCACAGAGCCCCACCCTGGTATGAATGACAACCTCCTCACAGCTGTGCAGATGGGTCCTCTCTTCTGCCAATATTGTACCTCCAGTGTGCTCTGGCACCTCCCGAGACCATGTGTAGCTGGGGTAGACTAGCATAGAGTCCGGAGAGGGAGGGGTGCAGGAAGGAGGGGCAGGCATCTCAGGGGAGTGTTTAATGACCTCCCCACACCTCCTCCATCAACAGATCCAATCCTGAGGGTCGCTTACAATCAGTCACAGCTGCTCTGATTAAGCTGGAAATGGCCGTTATGCTCAGAGACACAGCAGTCCACAGTAACTTGATTTTGTACTGAGTCACCTGTGGGGATCTCATAAGAATGCATCTTGTGATTCTTTCTTCTAGAGTCAGGGCCTTGGAATAAGAATATGCTTTTTTTTTTTTTTTAAACCAACCTCAGAAAATGCCTGTAGTCAATTTTCAGGCTAGACTTTTTGCTTCAAGGGCTTAGAGCAGCCCCTGCCAATCCTCTATGGGGACACTTGGCAATCCACATACTGATGCCTGCCTTGCACTCCCAGACACCGTTTTAACTGTTATGTGGTGCATCCTGGGCCCTGGAATTGTTCAGAGTTTCCTGGATGGTGTGAGGCAGAATTTGGGAGCTAGTGGCCTATGCTGTGCTTCTGAGGTGGGATTTGATGCTGGAGCACCGGAATGTAAGGTCTGCACTCTGTACCATGCTGTGGTGGTCCCCTGGTACCGCACCATCCAGACCTTAGCACAGCCTCCTGACAGCACAACTCTTTACATGGTCGCAGAGGTTTATACAGAGGGTTATTCAGCTTCCAGATCTTTGCAAATCATAACCTTTACGCTGGGTTATGTTCACTCCAGTTTAGAACCCAGCAGTGTAGACTGACTTGAGAGGTACACAGGTCGAGAGTATCCTGATCCCAAATTGGAGATGACCCCAAATGAACATTGTTGAGAATCCGCAGAGAGCTGAGGGAGAGATAGTTAATTATCTGGACAAGGGTTATGTGCTTGTCACTTTAGATTTTCGAACCTCACTTTGGTTTTATCTACTTTTATGGACGAATAGAGTCATGACAGCGAATGAATGTTTCCTGGAGGCTGTTGGCATTTTATGTCACATCCTCTGGTTAGCTTTGAAATTTTGCACTTTAGGTTGTATGACATATTTATGTGTCAGTTTTGGGTTGAACACTAATCACCCTCGAGGCAGAGAGCATAAAAGGCTTTTCTTTAAATAGGCACAGTACACATGCTTGGTAAAGAAATAATGGTAATAAGAGATTAGGTAGAGATGGTACTGCTCCAGGGGAGTGAAGTCCTAGGTCTCCTTCTCAGGCACTCTGTCACAGTGGTGCACGGATAGTCAGTTCTCGTTCACGACTCAAGAACTGGGCAAACGTGAACAACTGCTCCTCAAGGAAATACAGAGAGAGTCCTGTGAGCGCCTGGTCACAAGATGCCAGTCAGTATGCAAGCTTGCTTTGTGAGTGTCTAAAGGCACCTTGTACAGCATGAATTGTTGATTGTTTACATTGAATTCATGGTAAATAATCATGCCCAATGAAGCTTACCTACCACAAGCAGTTTATTTAAAAATATTTTTTGGGGGGGAGGACGCTAAAGAGGTGGCTCAGTGGTTAAATCCTGTACTTCTCTTCCAGAGGACCTGAGTTTGGTTCTTGGCACCAATGTCTGGCAGCTCACCAGCTCCAGGGGATTAGCTACACTCTTCTGGCCTCTACAGACATTGTAGTCATGTGCACATGCCCACTGACAGACTACACACATATGCACATAATTAAAGATAAAACCTTAATTTTTTAAAAAGTTAGCATGCACGATAATGGCTTCATGGGTCTCCAGGCAGCGTCTACTACGTAGGTCAGTGCAGAGGATGCAGAGAGCTGAGGGAGAGATAGTTACGATTATCAGGACAAGGGTTATGTGCTTGTCACTTTAGATTTTTGAACCTCACTTTGGTTTTGTCTACTTTTATGGATGAATAGAGTCATGACAGCAAATGAATGTTTCCTGGAGGCTGTTGGCATTTTATGTCACATCCTCTGGTTGGCTTTGAAATTTTGCACTTTAGGTTGTATGACATATTTATGTGTCAGTTTTGGGTTGAACACTAATCACCCTCGAGGGAGAGAGCATAACAGGCTTTTCTTTAAATAGGCACAGTACACGTGCTTGGTAAAGAAATAATGGTAATAAGAGATTAGGTAGAGATGGTACTGCTCCAGGGGAGTGAAGTCCTAGGTCTCCTTCTCAGGCACTCCGTCACAATGGTGCACGGATAGTCAGTTCTCGTTCACGACTCAAGAACTGGGCAAACGTGAACGACTGCTCCTCAAGGAAATACAGAGAGAGTCCTGTGAGCGCCTGGTCACAAGATGCCAGTCAGTATGCAAGCTTGCTTTGTGAGAGTCTAAAGGCACCTTGTACAGCATGCATTGTTGATTGTTTACATTGAATTCATGGTAAATAATCATGCCCAATGAAGCTTACCTACCACAAGCAGTTTCTTTAAAAAGTTTTTTTGGGGGGAGGACGCTAAAGAGGTGACTCAGTGGTTAAATCCTGTACTTCTCCTCCGGAGGACCTGAGTTTGGCTCTTGGCACCCATGTCTGGCAGCTCACCAGCTCCAGGCGATTAGCTACACTCTTCTGGCCTCTACAGACATTGTAGTCATGTGCACATGCCCACTGACAGACTACACACATATGCACATAATTAAAGATAAAACCTTAATTTTTTAAAAGTTAGCATGCATGAAAATGGCTTCATGGGTCTCCCAGTAGCCTCAGCTGCCCGGGAACTCGCTACGTAGACCAGGCTGGCCTTGAACAGAGATCTGCCTGCCTCTGCCTCCCAAGTGCTGGGATTAAAGGTGTGCACCACACCCAGCTAAAATTTATTTTTATTTTATGTGTGTCACTGTTATGCCTGCATGTAGGTAAATGCACCGTGTTGTGCAATGCCTGTGGAGGTCAGAAGAGGGTATTAGATCCCCTGGAACTAGAGTTACAGATGGTTGTTAGCTGTCTTGTGGGTGCTGGGAGTTGAACTTGGGTCCTCTGCAAGAGCAGCCTAGCGCTCTTAACCACTGAGCCATCTCTCCAACGCCATGATGTATTTTTATACACCTGTGTGATCAGACTTTGTTCTGATTCATTTTTTGCCTCTGCTTCTCTCTACACTGTAGCCCTGACAACTATTTCCTTCTCCAGTGAGCTCATCCTCTCTGTTCTCGGAACTCCAGCCAGCACTTCTAAAACGGGGGTCGTGCTAAACACCAAGACCACCAACAAAAAGCAAGAAATCTGAAAAAAAAAATGTCACTAAGCAGACCACGAGAAAGACACTGCTGGGGCTGGAGAGATGGCTCAGCAGTTAAGAGCACTGGCTGCCCTTGTAAAGGACCCGGGCTCGAATCCAACCTGACCAAAATGTCGGCCAACAACTGACTGTAACTCCAGTTCCAGGGGAACTGATGCCGTCTTTGGGACATTGCATGACACGGGTGCATGTACATACATGCAGGCAATACATTCATACACATAAAAATAAATAGATAAAAAAGACACTTTACAGTGTAAGATCTACAGCTAGACGGCCATGAGGTCATGTGGCTCCTTGCTCAGCTCCAGGCTGAAAATGCCTGCCGGGCCACTCTGATTTATTTACTTAGCTACAGTGCGTATTTCCTTAAATGACCACAGCAGCTTCGTGAGTGGAGGTAGAGGGTGTCTGTTGGTAGATTCAGTGATCTTGAAAATCCCTCGGAATTAGTCATCATTGACCTCTCTTCAACAGTGTTTCTGATGCAGTGGACTAGTGGGGTCTTAGGGTTTGCATTTCTGACAGTTTCCGTGGTGATGCTGCTGGTCCAGACTCTAGGACTCAAGGAACCATGAATGCTTCCCACGCTGAGGCAGTCTGAAGTCTAAGAATTCTTTCTGAAACCAGACTGATCTTGAGACATTTGCAAGTTTAAGATCTATTTATGTTCATACCATATGTATGTGAATATGTAAAGTCTACTAAATTTTCAAACATTTAAATTTTATTTACTATTAGCATGTGTGTGGTGGGATGCTGTGTGCCACAGCACTCGTGTTGAGGTCAGGGGACAACTTGTGGAATGAGTTCTCTCTTTCTACCTTTATAAAACAAAACGATGTATTGTACATGAATTGTGTGTCCGTGTGTGTGGGGTATGTGCACATGTAACTGTAGATGCCTGTAAAAGTCAGAAGAGGGCGTCAGATCCCCCGGAGTTGGAGTTACGGGGGGGTTGTGAGCCACCCAATAGGAGTGCCCGAAACCAAACTGAAGTCCTCTGCAAGAGTGGTATGTGCTTTTCCCCACCGAGCCACCTGTCTCTGCTTCCACCTCCGTGGGCGCTGGGATTGAACGCAGGTGCTCAGTCTTGCACTGTCACATATCAAGCAACTTCACCTGAGGCAGCTTGCCAGCCCTGCACTTTTATATTTTATTTATTATTTTTATTATTATTTTAAATATTTTATTTGTTATTTTTATTTTATGAGTATGCGTGTATTGCCTGCATGTAGGTAAGTGCACCCATGTTGTCCAATGCCCGCGGAGGCCAGCAGAGGCTGTCGGATCCCCTGGAACTGGAGTTAAGGATGGTTTGTAGCCACCATGTGGGTTCTGGGAATTGAACCCAGGTCCTCTGCAAGAGCAGTCAGTGTTCTTAACTGCTGAGCCATCTCTCCAGCCCTTTATTATTTTTATTTTATGTGTATGAGTGTATCGCCTGCATGTATGTGAGCGCACCCGTGTCATGCAATGCAGTGGAGGTCAGAAGAGGGCTTCGGATTCTCCTGGAACTGGAGTTAAGGATGGTTTGTAGCCACCATGTGGGTTCTGGGAATTGAACCCAGGTCCTCTGCAAGAGCAGTCAGTGCTCTTAACTGCTGAGCCATCTCTCCAGCCCCACTCCTGCATTTTTATAGTCTGCTTTTGATATTGTTTGCTTTTAGGAACTCCTATGTGCGGTTGAGGCACTTATGCACCAACACCTGGGTAACCAGCACCAGCATCCCCATAGACACGGATGAAGAGAGGCCTGTGATGCTGAAGGTAAGTGCTGTGTTCATAGGACCAGGACATGCCTGGCATGTTCCTAACGGTCCACCTTCACCAACATCAGAGATGATTACAGTGGATTTCATGACACATGCATGTCTGACAGCTGATTGGGGGTGGGGTGGAGTATATGTACCGAGATGGGAAGAGAGGATTGCAGGGGGCATCTTCTGGACTCTGTTGTAACTGAAGCAAAAAAGGCTCATGAGAGAGATGTGCTTTCAGAACAGGGCAGGAAATGGGCGTCGAGAGCCATGGCAGCCCTGCGGCCTTTCCCAGTGAGTGATGCTTGTGGGAATCACTGTCTTTGGCTTGGCCACTCTTACCTTTTGTTTCTTAGACAGTACTGATCTGTGTTAGTTTCCAGAGAATATCACATAGTTATGTAATGGAGACACACTTTGCAGATTGGAACCTGCCAGACCAAAGAAGATAAAGAAGCCTTTGCCATCGTGTGTGTCCCCCTGTCGGAGGTCCGAGACTTAGACTTTGCCAATGATGCCAACAAAGTGCTGGCCACCACTGTGCAGAAGCTGGAGAGCGGCACCATTACCCAGAATGAGAGGAGGTGAGCGGCTTTTAAACGTGACTTTGAGCCATTAAGAGCCAGGTGTGCCGAGGCAGATGTGGGGGCTCCTGCCTGTGACCCCAGCACTCTCCAGGGGGAGGCTGGAGGATCAGGAGTACAAGGTCACCCTCAATTATAGAACAAGTTTGAGGCCAGCCTGAGCTACATGAGACTCTGTCCCCAAACAATGACCAATAGAAAATACCCCCTAAGTTCCTCAGCAAACAATACCACGCACACAGTCAATTTTCAGTTCTTGCAGTGAACTTCAAGTGACTTAATGGGGGCATTTAAAGTATTCTCTCTGTCAGCACACTTGCATCTGATGAGGTGGGAAATTGGTCCCTCTTGATCATGACAGATTAATGAAATGGTGAAATTAAAATCTGGTGGGTGGGGCTGGAGAGACGGCTCAGGGTTAGGAACACGCTGTTCTCTCAAGATGACCCTAGTTCAGTTCCCAGCAACACATCAAGTGGCTTATAACCACCAGAACTCCAGCTCCAGGGGATCTGACGTTCTCCAGAGCCATTGCATTCATGGGTACCTGCCTGCCCACCCACTCACCCACCACATAAAAATAATTAATCTAAAAAAATCTGGTGGAATATTTACATTTCTCATTTTGGCTTGACTTGGAAATAGATGTTTTTAGTTTTTCTCTGATCTTTTCAAATGCTTTGTAGGGATTTATGGTGCCATTTGTTGCACTCAATTTGATGTTTGGATTTAGAGTTTTATGCTCTGGCCATTTTTATTCATGACACATTTCTCAACTATGGTACTACAAATTGATCAAATATGTAACACCAGGGGAAAAATGGGTCGTCGTCTTTGCCTGTGTAAATCAGAGAAACTGGCTTCTTGATTCTTAAACTTATTTTTTCCTAAATAAGCGAGAAAGAGAAGGCGGTTGTAGCTAGAAATCATTGTGCCCTACTGTGTGCCCAGCTACTGTGTTGGGTGCAGTGGATTTAAAAACATGTAACCCTTCCCATGGCCCTGTGATAGATACACCCATTTTGTCAAGGGCAGTGGGAGGTACAGTTACCTGAAGTAGTTGAGTGGGGGAAGGGGTTGTAGTCACATGTGTGTGCTTCTCAGTACTACAGAGCACAGACACCCATCTCCTCTTCATGATCTGCTTGCTGAGTCCCTGGCCTCATCCCTTCGCACTGGTTGGATGCTAACAGACAGTGGTGGTTTGAATGAGAATGTCCCCCATAGGCTCCAAGTATTTGGACACTCGGTCAGTTGGTGGCACTGTTTGGGGAGGATCATGGAACCTTTAGGAGGTGTGGCCCTGCTGGAGGAAGCATGTCACTGTGTGGACGTTGAGAGTTCAAAGCCTTGTCCCACTTCTCTTTCTGCTGTCTGTGCTTGCTTGAAGATACAAGCTCTCAGCTCAGGCCACCACCTGCCACGCCTCCCCCGCCATGATGGATTCTTATCCTTCTGGAAATGTTAGCCCAAATAAACTCTTCCCACTGTAAGAACTGATACGCAGACCAGCACACCTTTCAAAACAGCCCAGCCTGTAACACAGGCTGTAACACAGAGTCGCAAACACAGTAGGATTCACTGGTTTCATTGCTCAGTGGAACATTCTTGAACATCTTTCCAATAGAAGCCCCAAGACACATGGACAACAGTGTCCAGCCACATTCTAAACACCCTGAAACTGAAGACCATCCATATGTCTGTCATAGTGAAGACATGATAAAATTGTGTTATGTTCATACAATGGAATACCATATAGCCAGGAACATGAATGAACTATAATGTGACGTGGGTAAATCTAAAATTTACATTGAATAGAAATGGTCAGACATAGCAGTATCTGTAAGTTCAGAAACAAACAAAAGTAAACTGACTCCTTGGATGTTTCGTCTGTGGGAAGTGCTCTAGTTTCATTCTGTTGTATTAAATAAAACATCCTGACCGAAAGCAGTTTATGGGAGGAAAGGGTTTATTCAGCTCACAATTCCAGGTCATAGTCCTTCGCTGAGGGAACTCCGGTAGGACCCCGAAGGCAGGCCAGCTGTTCTACACGTTACCTCCAACCAAGGAACTCGCCTCACAGCCAAAGAAGGGCAGTGGCCCCGTGAGAACGCCGCTCGTGACAGCTTAATCTCCTGTGCAGTTCAGGACCATCTGCCTAGGGATGGGCCCTGTCTACAGAGGGCTGGATCCTCCTACATCAGCCAACCAAGACAGTCACCCCTGACCGTCCCACAGGGCAGTCTGATCCAGGAGATGCCTCTGCTGAGCCTCTCCTCCCAGACTCTGATCAAGTCGACAGTTGCAGCCAGCCAGGACAGGATCAGAAATGCAAGTTAATCATAGTCACAGTCGAGATGGTATTTGCCCTTGGAGGGGAGGCGTGAGAGCTCTGACTGGGGAGGAGCTAACAGGCTCCTGTGGTGGCCACGCCCACTCGGGAGTGGCTTCATGGGGTTCACTTTGTGAATGTCACTAAGTGTGTGTGTTCTAGAATTCTTTAGACATATGTCTTATAATCCAAACTTGCTTCCTGGCTCCATCTCTTATTAAAAAATTCTCAGCATGCCAGTGAACCGACTAGGCGCTCCTCAGCCTCCGGTCCACCCCTACCTCTGCTCTGCTTGAACCCACACTTGACACCTTTCCTGTAGACTTCTACCCTGTGGCGGTCAATGAATGAAGTTAAAAAGCCGAACACTGTCCCCGCTCAGGGACTGCAGAAAATTAAAGACCAGAGCTAAGTTGCGACAGGAAGTGCCGTCCAGCGTGCAGTGCAGATGGGGTTTTATGTTTTGTCTGTCATTCCTCGCACTCTCGAGGAATCCGTGTCTGTCTCTGTTCCTCTGATGTATGTGCAGAAAGCTACCAAGCCTCTAAGATGTTGCCTTTGCTAAGCATGACGGTCTCTGGTGAAGTAAAGAAGATTCTGATTCTGAGTGCTCTGCTGTCCTGGATTCCCCACTGACC